GGGGAGGACGAACAACGAAGACCGAGCAGCAGGAGAGGTGGCCGAAGCCCCAACGACACCGCCCAGTTCACACCAGGTACAGGTGGTGCTGGTACCTGCCCAGGTATCGACAGCGTGTTATTTTCTGTTTCTTCTCCGCCTGGCGTCGGCACCCCTGCTTGCGCCAACCCTTGAGATTGACAACACACTGGTGGCATGCGGCAGAAAATCAAATCGCCGTCAGAGTCAGGCCGGCCACGAAAGACAGGAGCTGGGGGGCATCAACGCCTGTGCGGCGCGTGGGCAGGAGGGCGGAGTGCGAGGCGCGCGCGCTGAAACGTGCGGACAGGCGGGGGAAGAGGAGAGAACGAAAACAAAAACAACACGCCACGCCGCACCCCACGCCTCGCGTAGCTTCGCCTGCTGTACATGGCGGAGAAGAACGGACAGTGGAACAAGAACCTGACAATGTGATATGTTGACACAGGTGTCGTGGCCCCATCGCAGGGTGATGCGACAGGGCCCGCCGAATTCCTTCCTTGGTCGCCGTGCGCTGGTTGGACATGGTTTTTAACAACACACGGCGAAACCGTCTCCAGGCGGCTTGGGCTGCCACTGGCCGCCCGAGTGCCAATCGCGCCCCCGTCGAGCGAGTCGCGCGCGTTCGCGCCACTAGCTCGGGGGTGGCGGCACTGCCAGCGCCACCGCTGCAGGGAGACCCGGGCGGCGCCCGCGCACAGCTCGACGCTCACAGCGCTCCACGGATTCCCTCGGGGGCTTCTGGCCGATTGGGCCCCTTCTGCTGCCTCCCCGCCCCACCGCAGTAGAGCCGAAGGGCTGACACGAGGGGGAATTGCGTTGCGTCCGCGTTCCTCCTTCCATCCTTCTCCTTGTCCCCGTCGTCGGGCCCCTCCTTCCTTGCCTTGTTTTTGCTCTTCGCCCTCCGTGTCGCCGCCTCACCCTCCTGCTCGGCACCTCTTCTGTCTCCACGTCACCCCCCCGTCCGTCGGCCTGGTCTGTCCGCTCCGGCGTTCCTTCTCCCATCCCTCCTTGCCCCTCGGTTCCTCGCTGCCCCCCCCTCTTCCCGTGGCCTCGCCTGGCCCGACAGACTGTGGGGGGCGGGGGGGTGGAGGAGGAGGAGAAGGAGGAGGAGGAGGAGGAGGAGGAGGAGGAGGAGAAGGAGGAGGAGGAGGAGGAGGAGAGAGGAGGAGGAGGAGGAGGAGGGGGAGAGGACAAGAGGAGAGGAAGAGGAGAAGGAGGAGGAGGACGAGGTGGAGGAGGAGGAGGAAGAGGAGGAGAAGTTGGAGGAGGAGGAGAAAAAGAAGGAGGAGGCGGAGGAGGAGGAGGAGAGGAGGAGGAGGAGAAGGAGGAGGAAAAGGAAGAGGACGAAGACGAGGAAGAGGAGGAGAAGGAGAAGGAAAGAGGAGAAAAAGGATGACGAGGAGAAGAAGAGGAGGAAGAGGAGGAGAAGAAGGAGAAAGAGGAGGAGAAAGAGAAGGAGGAGGAGAAGGAGAAGGAGAGGAGGGCGAGGAGGAGAAGGAGAAGAAGGAGGACGAGGAGGAGGAGGAGGAAGAGGACAACGAGGAGGAGGAGGAGAAGGAGGAGAAAGAGAAGGAGGACGAGGAGGAGGAGAAAGAGAAGGAGGAGGAGGAGGAGGAGAACGATATTGAGGAGGGGGAAGAGAAAGAAGAGAAGGAGGAGGAAGAGAAATAGGGGGAAAAGGAGGAAGAGGAAGAGGAGGACGTGGAGGAGAAGAGGAAAAGAAGGAGGAGGGAGAGGAGGAAGAGGACGAGGAGTAGGAGGAGACAGAGGAGGAGGAGGAAACCGAGGAGGAGGAGAAAGAGAAGGAGGAGGAGGAGGAGGAGAAAGGGAAGGAGGAGGGGGAGGGTGGAGGACGAGAAGACAAGGAGACAGAGAAGAAGGAAAACAAGGACGAGGAGGAGGACGAGGAGGAGGAGGAGAAAGAGGAGGAGGAATAGAAGAAGGAGGAGAGGGAGGAGAAGGAGGAGGGGGAGGGGAGAAAGACAAGCTAGGTGCGCTCGCGTCAGATCTGACATCCTACCCATCCCTCCCATCCTTTACCATGGCGCAGATCCCCTCTCTACACGCACAATCGGCTGTCAAGCAAGGCGATGATCCCGAAAGGGTACGCGATGCATTGTAGAGCACGGCATGGCACGGCGTAGAAGAGCACCGCGAAGCGTAGCTCCAACCTGGCATTGCATTGCATGCCGTGGCATGGCACGGGAAATGACGCCAGCGCTGCAGCGGGAGCACGAGTCGAAACGAGCAGAAGCGCGGAAATGAGGCCAACGCTGGAGCGGGAGCACGATTCGGAACGAGCGGAAGCACCGAAATGATGCCAGCGCTGCAGCGAGAGCACGATTCGGAACGAGCGGAGCCCGAAAATGAAGCCACCGCCTCAGCGAGAGCAGCACTTGGGAAAAAATGCAGGCGAAAACCTAACTCCAGGGAAGGCTCCCGGGCGCCAGAAGCAGAAATTCAGCATCTACAAAAAAAAATTGTGTTGGAATGGCCTTTTTTCGGCGCCGCCTCGGAACTCGATTTTCCAGTGCCGACCGGAACCGGCTCCGGACCTGGCCCGGGCGCCGGCCCGGGCGCCGGCTCGGGCGTCCGGCCTGGGCGCCGGCTCGGGCGCCGGCCTGGGCGTCGGAATCGGCCCGGGAGGCCTTCCTCCCGGGCGCCGGAAGAAGAAATTCAGCATTCTCATAAGAAAAATGTGTATTAGAATGGTTTTTGTTTCGGCGCCGCCTCGGAACTCGATTTTCCGGCGCCGGCCGCAACCGGCTCCGGACCCGGCCCGAGCGCCGGCCCGGGCGCCGGCTCGGGCGTGCAGCCCGGGCGCCGGCGGAAATGATGCCAACGCTGCAGCGGGAGCACGATTCGGAACGAGCGGTGCCCGAAAATGAGGCCAGCGCCTCAGCGAGAGCATCATTTTGGAAAAAATGCAGGCGAAAACCCAACTCCGGGGAAACCTGTGTGTAAATTATCCCGGCAAAGCAACCTAACAGCGATGTGTAGAAGCATATATGGAAGCATTGCCCTTGAGATTCATGTAGGAGCCCTGGTGTAGAATTCTGGTGTCCTCGCAGTCGTTCGTCCTCCTGCTCGTCCTCGCATGTAGGAGTCCTCGTCGTCCTCCTCTTCCTCCTGCTCGTCCTCTTTCTCCTGCTCCTCCTCCTCCTCCTCCTCCTCCTCCTCCTCCTCGTGTTCGTCCTCGTCCTCCTCGTTTTGCTCGTCCTCCTTCTCCTCGTGCTCTTGCCCCTGCTCCTCCTACAATTGGCTCCAAGCATAAAAATGCGGCCCGGGAATGAAGTTCTGGGAGCTCGAAGAACGCGAAGTGGCCCACAGTTGGCTCCGGGCATTCAAAGTGTACCCCCGGAATGGAGTTCTGGGAACTCGAAGAGCACGAAGTGGCCTACAGTTGGCTCCGAGCATCCAATATGTGGCCCGGGAATGGAATTCTGGGAAGTCGTAGAGCACGAAGTGGCCTACAGTTGGCTCCGGGCATTCAAAATGTGGCCCGGGAATGGAGTTCTGGGAACTCGAAGAACACGAAGTGGCCTACAGTTTGAAGTGACCGATGTCCCTTTTAGCTCTATCTTTCGCAATTCCATCAAAATCGTTTTTAAATTGCTTTTCAATCGCTTCAAACGAATATTGCAATCGTTTTATTTGCTTGCGCAAGCGTATGAAAAAAACAATGCCCCCCCGACACGCATGCACGCACGTCTTCTTGTAAGGGGCAGTGATCACGGTGAGGCATGCGACGGCAGAGTTGTTTCTTCTTGTCCCCCCGAGCGCTCCAAGTGGCGCGCTGGCTGGCTCTCCCAGGCTGGGTTTGCCCCGACACGTTTTGCCAAGGGGGGCCTCTGGATGCAAGTGCCTCCCCCAATCCCCCCTTTCTCCCCCTCGAGGGAGCATCCGTCTCCCTGGGCCTTCCTGGCAGGATTTGCCCCGAGACTTCTTGCCAAGAGGGGCTTGGCGGACAGGCATAGTTTTTTTCTCCAGGGGGCCAGACCCCCCTGGAAAAAAAACGACTCCTGTCCGCCAAGCCCCTCTCGGAGCCATCCCCCTCGGAGGAGACTCGTCAAACTCGAAGTGACGTGCGCAATCCCGCCCCGCAAGCCGTAACCAACCAGGCGAGGGTCGGGCTAGCAGAACGGGATGTCGCTGGTTACGCGCACCTCGCCAGGAGAAGCCGTCACGAGCACCGTCGGCGCCCAGTCGGAACCCCTTTCTACAGCGGGGGAGCTGGCAAAGCTTTGGTCGGGGCCTCGATGAGCCCACCTCGAAGATGCGACGCAAAATCCATCGCGGCCTCCACTTGCCAGCGATGGCCATTGAAGAGCGCACGAGGTCTGACACAGTAACCCGCTGAGCCCCGCGTCAGCGGGGAAATCGGCAAGGCTCTGGGCGGGACCTCCCCATACTGTACTCGAAGACGCCATGCAACATGACATCACAAGCTAAAATAACCAGCGATTGGTCAACGATGTCTTGGCGTAGACACTGCAGCATAGCAACTGGAAGCCAGACTGGAGCCAAGGCCACAGAGAGCTGCAGGAGAGGAGAAGGGTGGAGAAGGAGGCGAAGCCAGATTTCAGCTTCCCGTGGCCAGCCCAGTGCGACGTTTCTGTGTGTTTGAGGTGTATCATGCCAGTGCCTCCTTCTCCTGCTCCTCCTCCTCCTCCTCCCCGCGCTTCCTCCTGCTGACATTTACGTAACCAGCCCAGTGCCTCCTCCTCCTCTTCCTCCTCTCCGGCGCAGAGGCACATTCCAGCAGGCTTTTGGAGGGCTGTGTTTGTGCACCACGGCGCTGGGCCCCAAGTGAGCTCTCCCGAGGCTGCGTTTGCACGCCTCTGCGCCTCCTCGCGGAGGCAACGGCCAGCAGGCTGGGGGAGGGAGGCTTAGAGCTTAGACAGAGCACGGCACCTCGTGCTCGGAGGCGGAGGGGGGAGGATAAAAAATGGGATCGCCATGTAGCTGGTGCCCCCCACTCAAGGGAGGGCCTTCATCTCCATCACCTTCTTCACGCAGCCTTGGACGGCTGCGTGGACGTGGGACATCGAATCGAAAACATTGAACTTTTTCACGCTGCTGCTGACGGCTGCCCTCTTCTGGGAAGGAGAATCGTTCTTCTGGAAGTTGTAGAGCAAGCAGCCCTCCAAGGCGGTCGCGAAGCCCCTGCTCAACTTAGCGCGCGTGTCCTCGACCGACTTCTTCACGAAGATCTCGTCGCTGAAAAACTCGGAGAGCTGAATGCACTCGTCGTAGAGGTCTTTCAGAGAGGCCAGCGCCTTCGTGAACTCGACCGTGTTTAGCTTGTAGAGCGAGCCGCCAGCCTTCTTGGCGATGTCCTTCAGGCTGGCATTCTCCGCGAGCCCATCGCACCAGACGGCATCGTGCCTGCTCGCGCCTCCAAGCGCGTCCTTCAAGAGCGGCCCATTGTCATGCATGGACAACTGCAGGTAATCGTGCATTGACTGGGCCATGGCGTTTGCTTTCGCTGTGGCGATGCCTCTCACGATGCCGATCTGCGCAGTACACTCGGTGATAAGCACCTGGAGGCCCACCTCGGTGTGATACTTTTTGCAGGACGCCAGCACGTCCACCGCGATCGAGCACACAGCCTTGCACTCAGACAGCTTGGGCTCAATCTCTGAACGCTGGGCGGCCTCAGCAGTCCAAGCGGCGTTCATGGTAGTGATGCGCTTGACCACCTCGTCGAAGTCAACCAGTACTTCACATATCACTTGCCACTTATTCTTCAATGTTGGGTCGAGCAAGTCGCAGAGAGCGGCCCAAGCAGCTTGGCACGTATCCAGCATAGCGGGGTCTGTCTCCAGCACGTGCTCCATCGAGGACTTGATTATGTGGGCTGCCTTCGTCTGCACGCCCACGGACGGCTGCATGTCCACGCAGTTGTTCGAGAAGCTCTTGACCATACCGATGCACTCGTCCCTGACGGCCTCGTCCAGGAACTTCTTGGGGTTGACGTCATTGAGGCGAGGCTCTTGCTCTCGAGCGCTCTGGATTGACATCAGCACGGGGATGGCACCGTCGGCGGCGGTCACTGCCTGCATGCCTTCGGTGACCTCAGCCAGGAGATGCCTCGCCTCAAGGGGCGCCTTCCGCCACGCTGCGGTGTAGCCGCGCATGATCTGCACGGTTCCAGGCACACCCTCTGGTAGAACCGTCGACGGATAGACTTGCATGATGTACGCCGCCACGTCGGACATGGCTGAAGTGAAGGATTTCTCCAGTGACTTGGTTGAGGTAGCACGAGCTTTCTTCGCGATGCCTGGGATAGCCTGGAACATTTGGAAAAGCAGCGCGCTCTTCTCCGAGATGGGCGATGCTGTCGAAAGCTGTACCTCCCAGTCGGCAGCTTTCTGCACATTCTCAGCATGGGTAGGTGCAGTCTTCTTCACGTCCTTGAGCAAGGCCATCCACGATTCCTTCATCTAGATCACATCGAAAACGTCGGCGCACACGTTCCGGTCCTCCTCAGTGTACTTCGCCGTCAGCGCCTCGAATGCAGTCGCGTGCTCAGTGTCATTGGGACGGACCAAGTGCAAGCACCCCCGAACGGCGTTCAAGCACGAAAAAACGGCATCGCCGATGTGCGGATCCAGGTCGGCCTGTGCGTCGGCGAGCTCAGATTCGATGGACTGGAGGACCGTTTGAAGCACCTCCTCATTCGCAGGCGGGGCATCGAGCAGAGGTGTCATGACGAAGCCTGCAAAGATCTTCTGGTAGTTGTGAGCCATCGTCTTCGGGAAACCCTGGCAAGCGATCAATATCGGTTTCTTCGGGTCAAACTCCATGCCAGTGGGTGATGTCTTCCCCCGTTTCCATCGGGCGCAACGGCATTCCAGAAGAGCCAGTCGTCCAAAGCGCGATCGCGCGGAGCATCTCCTTGACGCAAGCTGGATCAGAAAGCAGAGAAGCACCGATATCTGCAAGGTGTTTCCTGACGAGAGCTTGTTGCACATCAGGTGGCAACACGGTGACGTAGTCCTTCAACGAGTCGATCTTGTCATGGAGCTTGTCCTTCTTCATGCCCGCGATGCTCCTGACGTTGGACAGCGCCTCGGCGACCTCTGCGACGTCCAGGCGTGTCTGCATCCTGGAAATGAGAGACTGGGTGGCACTGTCGACCTGGGGAAGGGGCTGCCCATCCTTGTCCGAGCCCAAGCTTTGCATGACCTCTCGGAGGCGCCTGCGCTTGTGGCCCAGACGATCCCCCAGTAGGATTACGTCGCAGTCGACGTTTCGGATGTGCATATCATCTGCATCAATGGCGTCGCCCGAGTCACTGCCCAAGTCATCTCCCGCACCCTCGAGTGGCACGCCCTTCTTGCTCTTCTTCCTGCTCCCAGGCACGGTGGACTCAGCACCAGAGCTCTTGCGGGCAGATGCAAGCCGCTTTCCCGCCCGCTTGGCCCCCTTCTTGGGAGACGTTGCTTGCTGCGCGGCATGCGGGTGCAAGACCGCTCCCTGGTAAACGCTCTCGGCAACTACAGGACCTTCAGCGCAGTCTCCATCTTCGTCGTCATCGTCACCCCCAGGGGTGGCCGCGCCCGGCAGGCCGTCTGCTGGCGGCTCCGACTCCGCGGGCATTGCGAGGATGCTCTGCGGCTCAAGAGTGCAATTGCGGAGCTTCTTCATCATCGACTCCTCCTGGTCCTTCGGGGTGGTGAAGTACATGAAAGTCGATGCAGCTTGTTCTTCGCACATCTGGGCGTTGCTGGACATCTTCTTCACGTCCCAACACTGCGTCGAGACCTCTCGAAACCACTCGTACAGCACGCCGTACCCTCTGACATCGTCCGTGCCGTTGTCGATGACAAGGATGCCTTTGTACTGGGTGCCGTCTGGGTGCAGCAAGTCCTTCACTGACAGGTTGATATCATGGAGCTCCCTCTTGAAAACCTTCTGGAATTCCGATGGGCGCAAGCCCCTGCGCCGAATGGCGGCTCTCATCCCAACGGTGGCATTGACGTGCACCTGCCCACAGATGAAGGCCCTCTTCGTAGGATCCTGGACGTTCACAAGAAGGCTGGCGAACTCCTGCTCCTTGGCGGGGTTGGCGTTGCACTCGTCGGCCATTCGGCCCACGGCCCTTCCACCTGCTTACCCATCATGTAGGCTGTGTAGCACGTGCTGCAGGCATCGATCGAGGCGCCAGGGACCGTCTCAAACTTGCCGCCCTTCCTGGGCACCTTCAGCGCGATGGCCCAGGGCGCCGTCTTGATCGACGCGGCGCAGCTGTCACGTCGGCACCGCGCCACCCCGTCTGCATCTCGAGCGACTTCCACTGCGGCGCCTGGCCCTTTCCTCCTGCAGATTGCCGCAGCCTTCGGCGCAGCCTCGGGCTCCACCGTGTCGGAGCCCCTCGGAGCCGCCTCAGCCCTCGGAGCCCCTTCTGCGACCCTGGGTCTGGCTGCCTCTCGCCGACGCGCCGTCGCCAGAGGCGGCGGCGGCGCCGCCTCCATACTTCTGAGCTCTCTTGCCCATGCCGAGGTCTCGCGCGAGGACGGTGCAAGGGTGACGGGGGCGCCCTGCTCAAACAGTGCGGAGTCGAAGGCTTGATCGGAAAGACAACGGATGGAGGTCGAGGAAGAGGGGGAGGATATTTAGGTGAGACGGGTCAGGCCGTCTCGAGGCCGACCGAGGCCCTGGCCCCGCTGGGCGGCCCACGAGGCCACGAGGGCCCTACCTTGTCAGAAACTGGCGGGGTCACTGCACATGCAAATGCATCGCGACGCCATTGCAATTCAATGCAATTGCAATGCGATGCCAGGGCAAGGCAATGCAATGCAATGCGATCGGGTACTCTTCATCTAATGTAACGCAACGCATATTCCAACGCAACGCAACGCAATGTCAACATTATGTCGTTCCCTGTTTGGGCGCGTTTTCTCCCCTTGCTCAGGAGAACACGTCTTCAAAAGAGAGGCTCACGCGGCGGCACTTGAATCGGCGCCTTTCTGGGAGTTCGACTTGGATTGTTTTTTTCTCTTGCAGGGTGAGCCTGGAACTGGCGTGAGCACTGCAAACACAACCTCAGCAATATTCAGTCTGCCGACCAAGCTGCACGGACTGCTGTGAAACTAACTCCACAAAACTAGCTCAGCCAACGACATGCCCTCTGCGACTCGGCTCCGGATCGACTGAATCACCTCAGCCCTGGATGATGATCATCTGTCTCTCTGCGGCCTCCAACTGATCGTCGGCCCTCGCCGCGGCCCTCCTGAGCTTCACCGTCACCCGCTTGATGATCTTCGTTTTCAGCCTCAGCTCACGCTTGAGCGCACTGTTGATCTTCTTCAAGGCAGCGTTCTGGTCGCGGAGGCGGCGCTCCACTGTGCCTGGAGCAAGCGGCATGGACTGCAACAGGACAAGTACTGATGCGCACAGTCTCACAAACAGCTTGAGCCTCAATGGCTACGGAGGCTGGTCGGACGGAGATTCATTGATGACTTAAGTGCATACCAAGGACGGGTCAGGCCCTGTGGAAGCCGACCGAGACTGCGCTGGAGAGCCCACGAGGGCCCTATCTGGTGAGAAACTGTCGGGGCCACTGCGATGCAAATGCAATCTAATGCAGCTGCCACGTAATGCGATTGCAATGCAATGCCAGGGTAACCCAATGAAATGCAGTGCCATTGGGCATTGTTAACCTTATGTGACGCAACCAAATGCCAATGAACCGCAAATGCAGCGCAGCGCAATGCAATGTCAATATTAGGTTGTTCCCTGTTTGGACGTGTTTTTTTTTACAGTGCTTAGGGGAACACGCACTCAAGAGAGAGGCTCTTGCGGGGGTATCAGGTCACGGAGTCGGTGCGGCGCACCGACTCCGTGACACTTGAATCGGCGCCTTTCTGGGAGTTGGATTTGGATTGTTTTTCTCTTGCAGGGTAGGCCTGGAACGGGCGCGAGCACTGTGGCCACGACCTCAGCAAAAAGCCAATCTGCCGACCAAGCTGCACGGACCAGCGTAAAGACTACCTCTGCAAAACTAGCTGGGCCAACGACCTGCCCTCTGCGACTCGGCTCCGGCGAAGCCGACTGAATCTGCTCAGCCCTGGGTGCACCACTGTCTCTCTGCAGCCTCCAACTGATCGTGGGCCCTGGCTGCGGCCCCCCTGAGCTTCACCGTCACACGCTTGATGATCTTCGTTTTGATCCTCAGCTCACGCCTGAGAGCACTGTTGATCTTCTTCAGAGCAGCGTTCTGATCGCGGAGGCGGCGCTCCACTGCGGCCGTGGCAGGCGGCATCGAATGCAACGGGACAAGTACTGATGACGCGCACGGTCTCACAAACAGCTGGGGCCCCAATGGCTACGGAGGCTGGCCGGAAGGAATGGATTGATGACTTAGGTGCATGCCAAGGACGGGTCAGGCCATGTGGAGGCCGAACGAGACTGCGCTGGAGAGCCCACGAGGGCCCTATATTGTGAGAAACTGTCGGGGCCACTGCGATGCAAATGCAATCTAATGCAGCTGCCACGTAATGCGACTGCAATGCAATGCCAGGGTCACCCAATGAAATGCAGTGCCACTGGGCATTGTTAACCTTATCTGACCCAACCAAATGCCAATGAACCGCCAATGCAACGAAATGCACTGCAATGTCAATATTGTGTTGTTCCTTCTTTTGGCGTGTTTTCTGTTTCCCCCCAGTGCTGAAGAGAACACGTCTTCAGGAGAGCGATCCACGGAGATGCGCGCGCGCGCCAGCGGGGGGCGTGGCGGGAAGGGGGGGGCGGGGGGGCTTTTACGCGAAGGATCGGGAGATTCCTAAGAAGGATTGTTTGACGATTCCCTACGGATCCCTTTGGGATTCGTTGGGGGGGTCCTTCGGGATTCCCTATGGATTCATTAGGGAATCCTTAGGGATCCCTTAGGGATTCCATAGTGATTCCCTAAAAAGGTTCCACAATGATTTCTTTTGGATTCCCTGCGGATTCCTTGAGGGGGGCCCTAAGGATTCCTTTGGGATTCCTGTCGGGTTCCTTAGGGATTATCAAGGATTCCTTATGGTTTCCTTAGGGTGTCCTTAGGGATTCCTGGGGGATTCCCTACGGGTTCTTCTGGGATGCCCTAGGGATTCCTGAGGGATTCCCTATCGATCCCTCTGGGGTTCCATAGGGATCCCTTAGGGGGTCCTTAGGGATTCCCTTGGGATCCCCTAGGGATCCCTTGGGGGTTCCCTTCCCCAGGGGCCCCCTAGGGACTCCCGAGGGATTCTTGAGAGATCCCTCAGGGATTCCTTAGGGATGCCCGAGGGATTCCTTAGGGGTACCTTGAAGATCCCCGACGGATCCCCTGAGGACTCCCTTCGGATTCGTTACGGACTCCCTAATGATTCCATTGGGGTGCCTCAGGGATCCCTTCGGGGATCTTTAAGGATTCCCTGGGGGTCCCCCAGGATTCCTTGAGGATTCTTTGCAGATTCATTTGGAATTCCCAGAGGATGCCTGAGGGATTCCCTGAGGATCCCGTAGGGCTTCCTTAAGAACTCCTGAGGGATTCCTGAAGGATCCCCTAGGGATTCCTTACGGAAGCCTTCAGGATTTCCTACGGATACTTTTGGGGATCCCTACGGATTTCTGAAGGATTCCTTAAGGATCCCTCCGGGACTCCGTAGGACTCCCTTCGGAATTCCTTTGGGGTTCACTAGTGATTCCTTCGGGGGTCCTTGGGGGTTCCCTACGGATCCCTTTGGGATTCGTTGGGGGTTCCTTCGGGCATCCCTAAAAATTATTTAGGGGTCCCTTCGGCTTAGGGGTCCCTTAGGGGTTCATTAGGGATGCCCCAGTGGTTCCTTGAGGATTCATTACGGATTCTTCGGGGATTGGGATTCCTTAGGTGTTCCCTCGCGATTCCTTTTCGGTCCCTTACGGAGCCCCTAGGGTCCCTTGGGGGTTCCTTAGGGATCACTGATGGGATTCCTTGGGGATTCCTCAGGGATCCCCTAGGGATCCTTCAGGGAACCCTTAGGAATGCCCTAGGGGTTCCTTAGGAATTCCTCGCCGATTCCCTACATATTCCGCTGGTGCCTCTAGGGATCCCCTGAGGATTCCCTATGGATGTATTAGGGATTCCTCAGTGATCCCTTAGGGATTCCTGTTGGGATTCTCGAAGGATTCCTGATGGATTCCTGATGGATTCCTTATGGGTTCCTTGCGGATTCCTTTGGGGTTCCCGAGGGGTTCTTTGGGGATTCCCTGGGGATGCCTTCGGGGTTCCTCTGGGGTTCCTCCAGGATTCCTGATGGATTCCCTATGGATTCCTCTGGGAGTCCGTGCGGATTCGCCGCGGATTCCTTGAGGGCCCCCTAGGGATCCCTTCGGGGTGCCCTAGGGATCCCGCAGGGGTTCCGTAGGAGTCCCTGGGGCATTCCTCAGCGGTCTCCCGTGGCAAAGCCTTTTGGGTTTTCCGACCCGCCGATCTGCGCGAGGGGTGCCACATAAATTCAAACACGCGGCACATCCGTTGGGTTTGCATGGCAGAAGCGCGAGCGGGAGGGGGGTAGATTGGACAATTTGGAGGCGCTCCCCGTTTGGATGGCGCAATGGCCTGCGGGAGGTTGGCGGGGCGGGGGGCGGGGGGAAGGGGGGGGGGGTGGGGGGGGGGGGGGGGCGAAACTTCGCAGCGGAGCTAGGTGTGTGTGTGTGTGTGCGCGTGTGTGCGCGTGTGCAATATTATAAAATTGAGAATCGCTCCCCGTCTATATTTCGCAATGACCTGCGGGAAGTGGGGGCGGGGGTGGGCGGGCGGGCGGGCGGGCGAGGGGGGGGGTGGGGGGGGGTGCGGAGCGGGGGGGGGGGTGGGGGGGGGGGGGCGGGGAAATTGCGAAAATGGGGGGGCTGGGCCTGTGCAACATTCGGGAGACCCGTCTGTGATTGGCAATGGCCTGTTGGGCGCGCGCGCGGCGCGGGGGGGGGGGGCACTGCTAAATTTCGAGGCGCCAGCGGGGGGGTGATTGCAAAAGTGCGAGGCGCCCCCCGTCTGGATGGCGCAATGACTTGCGAGGCGGGAGGGTGCACCGCGCAATTTCGAAGCGCGAGCGGGCGGGGGCATGCTGCCACATGTGGAGGCGCTCCCCGTCTGGATGGCGCAATGACACGCGGGGAGCGGAGGGGGGTGCCCTGCGACATTTCGATGCGCGAGCGGGCGGGGGCCCCCCCGCCTGGATGGCGCAATGACCTGCGGGGGGGCGGGGGGGGATGGGGGACTGTGATTACCAAATTTCGATGCGCGAGCGGGGGGCGGGAGTAGACTGCAACATTGGGAGGCGCCCCCCGGCTGGATGGCGCAATGACACGCGGGGCGCGGTGGGAGGGTGGGGGCGGCAGCTTGCGACGCTTCGATGCACGAGCGGGGCGGGGGGTGCATATTGCATTGCCGGTGCATATTGCAAAATTGGCGCGCGCCCCCCGCCTCGGCTGCGCAGTGCAGAGCGGGGGGCGCGGGGGGGCGGGGGGGGGGGGATGGGGCGAGAGTA